TTAAGTGACCACCCTATCAAATGAGAATAAAATGCAATTTTGACGTGGTTATGTGAAACAAAACAAGGGCAGGCAAGAAACAAGGATAGCATACCAAAAGCTTTCTGGTCAAGTCTCTCATAGTGGAAAGATGCCTTTATATATGGCTCTATTCCGAAAGTTCTACAATTTTCGAACCCAAATATAGAAAAATTAATACTAAGTACGATTATCAAATTATGAAACAGACACAAAATAGAGAAATTCATAAGGAATTGGGATTCTCCGCTCCAAATCATCATCAAGAGAACTTCTTGTCTCGGCTTTCATATGTCTGGTTCATAGATCTTCTTGTGTTGACGCGTTTATATGGGTGGCTGCTCGGTATGCTTATAATAGCTAGATCATATAGCGCCCCGCCGTCCCGCTTGAAGTGACCACCCTACGTCAAATTTGGGCATCACTATATAATGAGAATAAAATGCAATTTTGACGTGGTTATGTGAAACAAAACAAGGGCAGGCAAGAAACAAGGATAGCATACCAAAAGCTTTCTGGTCAAGTCTCTCATAGTGGAAAGATGCCTTTATGGCTCTATTCCGAAAGTTTTACAGTTTTCGAACCCAAATATAGAAAAATAAATACTAAGTACGATTATCAAATTATGACACCGGCACAAAATAGAGAAATTCATAAGGAATTGAGATTCTCCGCTCCAAACCATCATCAAGAGAACTTATTGTCTTGGCATTCATATGTCTGGTTCATAGATCTTCTTGTCTTGCTGTGTTTATGTGAGTGGGTGCTGGTCGTATCTTATGATACTATATCACTTTTTATTTGTAGCTTAGTTGAGTTTTGGGGTTTGATGGGTTAGATTTTATTTTGCTAATTTCTTTTCCATTTTTGACCCTTCAACAAGTAGATTAGGGGTGTTAAGGTAACTTAGCCCTAGAATAAACTACTAATATTGGTGAATGAAAATAGCTTGAAGGGCAAATTTGGAATTATAATGATTTGAGGGGCAAATTTAAAAATATTTACAATGTGAGGGTGGTATATGCTAACCCCCCCCCCAAAAAAAAAAAAAAAACTCAGTGCTCCTGACGTTCGATAGTAAAAAGTAGTTTATTCTAGGGCTTTATACTAAAATACCATTTAACTCATTTTTTATTTTCTTATTTTCTTTTTCCCTGAGGAGGAAAAAAAAAGAAAAATACAGCTTCCTCGGCATTTTCCTTTTGTCTCGGAGCCGGTCGCATTTCTCTTTTTGGATCGAGGGGAAAATAAGTTTTAGGGAAAAAATAAAAATAAAAGAAATCAAATCGATCATCGTCCAGTGATTTCATCAGCAATCGAGATTGAGGAGACGAGGGAGGGAATCAGGCTCCAAAATCCAATAGGTACGCTCAAATCTTATAAATCATGATAAAGCGAGAGATCCCCAAATTGAATCTGGGGCCTTTTTTTTTAAAATTCCTGGAAACGAAATTAAGAGGGGGAATTAGGAAGAATATGAATAATTTGGATCTGAACAATTAAAATTCTATAAATTAGGTCGAAACCGTGAAACTTCGGCTAATTTTTGTTGATTGAACGCTGAATTTGATTTTAACTGTGTGAAGAGGCCAAGGTAGAAATTTTATCATTTTTAAGTAATATAATGACACGGGATTATATAATACATACCTGACATGTATTGTTGTTAAAATTTGTGTATTAAAGTTCAGTTTGATTTGATCCAGGGTTTGAATGGGATATTGCTTGTTTTATTGAATTCTTGTGCATGGGTGAGTCCATTATCAGCCTGCAACTTAGATGATCATAAGTGGCTTTTTTGTTGACACTAAATATAGATGCTGAAGAAAATGTTGTGATCAAATTTATATTCCAGTGTTTGGTATGAAGTGAGGTAGTTGGAAATGGTAATTGGATTCATATTTTGTAGAAAAAAACTAATGTTAGATTGTCAAGTTTCTTGAAACGAATTAGAATCAGATTGTTTTACAATTTTAGATAGACAGAACACTTCATTTGCAATGAATTCTTTTTGCCACAAAATTAGCAAATCCAACCAGTTGCAACTAACCGAACACAAAAATCCAGATATTCAGATGAAGGATCCGAGGTAAATTTCTTGCAAGAGATGTTGCATGCAAAATTTTCAACATGCAGCATTGTTGCAGCTACATTTGTAGCATACCAAATGACCCTATCCTTTTTCCTACATAGTATACTTCTGATTATTTTTTATTGGAGACCTTTCATGTTTTATGTCTGTGTTCATGCTCCTGCTTGTGCGTGTGCGCCCTCTTTATAATGCATGCAATGCCTACAAATCAATTTGCTTGGCTTGACAAATTTTTTGCTACTTTGTAGGAACAATTGTAAAAGGATATGAGATGTTTTCGAGCTGGGCATGAGATAATCGTCTTCATAGTTGATCTCTTATGAATGGTCTTATCTTGGTAATTTGCAGCTTTTGTCTTCATCTAGCTAGTAGAAGATGTTTGATTGTGGTTACAAGGCACAATATATGGATGGCCAGAGAGAGAAATTTGTAAGGTGTGATTATCCACGGAGAATCAATTTTATAATCCTTCAAGCATTTTGCAATGGTTATACTAAATAAATTCAATGCAATCACTTTTTTGCATGCGTAAACAGTTTGTTGGTTACAATATCATGAAGAACCATTAAAAGTTATGAATATTTCTAGCATTATTTTTTGCAGAACACTGTTAATAAATTTTCACTAGGAAACAATTTCCATGTAACTACTGCTAGTTGTTGTCTTTGTACACGCTACAAAATAATAACCTAATAACAGTTACAAGTTAAATTATGTAGCCTCTAAAATTTATCTTGAGTTGAAACTATGTGCGGTGTGTGTGTGAGATATGTCACTGAAGGGGCACCTTAGATTAAATCTAAGAATGCACCTTCAAGACTACATTATATGCAATCACTCGTTCATTTTGATCTATATTGTGGTGTGTGAGATATGTTACTGAGGGGGCACTTTAGATTCAATCTAAGAATGCACCTTCAAAACTATGTTATATGCGATCACTCGTTCCTTTTATCTATATGTTTTGGATAGTATATAAGCAAAAAATTAGGCATATTGGGTTATAGTCACTCATGCATTAAGTGATTGTAAAATTAATAGTTTTATGACAACACAACTAAAGAGACAATAAAAAATATATGTTAGAAGTATTGAAACATCATGAATTTTATTTTATAGATGTTTTGAGGTATTTAGACCATGATGAATGGAGAGGGTCATCTATTGGAATAGTCTAATCCATGCATCGAGAGGCACATCCTTAGATTAAATCTTAGGTGCTTCCTTAGTAACATATTTCTCTATATATATGTATGTCATCACATTCTAGCATTCCATACACAAACACACACACATTAGTAGTGCTACTGTAAATTTTAAGTGTGTATAAGCTCTTGTTTATGAACTTTTTATTTGCTAGATTTGCTTTAAGATTCGTATTGGCATGTGGTACATATCATGACACACAACTCAAATGTAGCATTGATGTGTATTAAATTCCAATACGAATCTGAAAGTAAATCTAATGGATAAAAAAGTTGGTGGATAGATCCCTTAAGCAACTTAAGTTTATTTTATTTTTTCTCTCTCTAAGTCCAACAAATAGGTCTTAGAGGAAACATATGGAAAGGCCTCCGGCAGAATGGTAAAGCACTTGAAACGTGCTTGCGAAGGATGAATAGAATGATGATGATAAACATGTTCTATCATTAGCAATGCTCTAATACCATTCAAGTTGAGGGATCGCCTAACGAGAAAGCTTTATTTAATTGGTTGTGGCCTAGAATGTATATCAAGAAAACATGATAGTCACCTACTATTTCAACGTTGTTACAAAATTTGAGACACAAGAAAAAGGAAATGGGCAATTGATGTGGCATAAAAATGAGCTTTGCTCTAAATATGACCTTTCAAAGGAAAACTTCATTTGGAAAGTTAATCGATGGCAGAGAAAGTGTTCAAGAATGGTATTTCTTTCTAATAGAGGGAAAGAAATAAGAGGGAAAAGAAAGGGATGAAGATGATGACATCAAAATGATGTCATCAAGCACTAATGAGATTTTTTCCTTTCTTGATGGCAAAATGGATGCAGCTATTTGTAGTGCAATTTGTGATTCTGATTTTATGGAATTGGAAGTAATGGATGGCTAAGATTCATTGATTGAGACTAACAAAATGCGAACAAATTAAAAATAAAGATAGATGCAGGTGTCCGGATCAATTTCACACGCAACATCTACCTTTCTTGGCTTCACAATTGGCAAGTCACTTTCTAGTCAACAAATCACATGCTAAACTTTTTTTTCAACATTATTTTAAAAAAAAATTCTCAACTTTATTTTTCAAACTTTTTTACATAACTAAATAATGAAAATAGAGTTGTAATAAACTTTGAAATTCACATTCAAGCTAGATTGAATTCAATAACAAATAAAATCAAATATTCTATAACATAAGTCAAATCTAAAAAGAAAATTTAAATCTAAAATGTCCTAACTAACTATATCTATGCTTACCAGTTTTTGCGTTAGATCAGGATTCTTCAAAAACAATCTTTATTTGAACTTCAAAATTCAAATCGTCCTACATTAGTAATATTTTATAATGCGTAGGTACTTCTATCATGCATCTGTATTTGTACCTAACACATACCATACTCATATGGTCATACCTACACTGACACTTCCTTGGACACTGCTTTAATACATGTAGCGATGGATCTAGATAATTTTTCCTATGGGTCGTATCTTCAATTATGCATATAAAGTAATAGCTTATACAATACAAACTCTAGTAACATAAGAACTTATTTATATGATAATCACAAGAATCTCAACACTTTACATAATAATTTTCTTATCAATACATGGTCTTCATTTCCATCACAAAAACTAAAAAAATATTACCAAGTCTCAACAATAGTTCCTCATAATAGTTCTCTACATGATTTCATCTTTTAATACCTCTATATAATTTTCTTATTTTCTATACTGTCTGATATGTCTTTCTTAATATACAAATTAAACAACTATTCAATAATTAATCTCCCATAAGATTGCGCCTTCAATTCTTTATAGTTTTCATTGCGGGCTAAATTGCACTTAAATACCCTATAGTTTCACCAACCTTGCACTTCAGTGACCTCTAATTTAAAATCGAGCAAATAAATGCCCCAAAGTATTTAAAAATTAAAGATAAAATATCTCAATAATTTCAACGAAACAAAAAAATTAAATCTGCCATCAATTGGGTTTGGCTTTAGGTTTGTTGGGGTGGGCACCCATCAAAATCCAACGGGGCACCTCTATAATTTCAACTAATCTCTTACCATTTTGTAACATGTGCAGGGTCACGTACCTTTAGCACTCACTTTAAATCTGCCAATGTATACATGTATACTTTTATTCGAGTACTCAATTATGTAATACATGTTTTAATTTAAAACACTTGTTGTACACTCGTGGACATATATCCTATACACTTCATACCCACCTCCTGAAACTCATTGTAAATATGTTGAGTTCATTGAAGCCTACAGAGTTCATAACTATTATTTTGTGCAGTTGTATATGTTCTAGTTCAATCACGAGAATTTTCCAATCTATAATCTACATAATAAAAGAAATATAAAAGTATTATATGAATTTAATTCTCGTAACATGACTGAGAAAACAATACAGATCTCATGTAAATGATTAATTTCAATATATATATAATTACACTATTCCTTACCTTTTATAACCTGACTTGTAAATGATTAATTTCAATCATGCTTATACAATTAAACTTTGAACCAATGGATGTAAAAAACAATTTTCATAGGTAAAGTTGTGCTTTGATTGGCTAACTTCTTTGCTGATATAAATGGTCAAGCCAATACTGGCAGATAGAATGACTTTCATGTCCTTTTTTGTGAATTGTAGTCTTGTAGATTATTTGAGGGGTAGTAAACAAAGTTTTCATCACTAAATTGCATCAATATTGTGGAAAGTGGAGCGAAGTGCCGAGGCCCTGCTAAGGCTTTTTAGGGCTTTACCCTTAACGGCAAAAAACGTAAATTAAAAAGCTATCCAATTTAAATATATATAAATATTTTAAAAAAGAAAAATTCAATAAAAAATTAAAAATTCTACAAATGCATATTTCATCATTTATAGAGATCCTAGATATGACATAAATATGTAACAACTGCACAATATGTGAAGAGGGTAGGTGACGGTGAAGAGAAATGTTGAGGTGAGGAAAAGCTTAGCTGAGTTCTAGGCCATTTTTTTTTCCAATAGGAGAGAATATCGGGAGATTTGGTGTCTATTAAGTAAAGCAGATTTAAATCGGGTAGGATTCAGGTTAGGTCTCAATATAGACATAAAAATCAGCTTTTTACAAAGCAGATAAAAGTCTTCAAAGTGGACTAAATTTGCTATTGCCCGCTATTGTCTGCTATTGCCCATTTTTTTGGGCATTTGGTCCCTTTTGTGAGTGAGAAGTGTTAGGGTTGCTTTTCATCGCCACTTTTGGCTAGCGTGTCACGGCCTCTGGCCACTTCCGTTAAAAGCCTAAAAGCCTCGCTATTGCGCCGCTATCGGGTGCTTTTTAAAATATTGAATTGCATCTAAGATTAAGAAGTAATCCCCTTTTATATAATCATATTGGTAGTTTGTTATTCAAGCTCTGTCTCAAAAAATTGTCATGTGTTCTCTCTAAGTTGATATGTGGATTGTGGATATCTAATCCTATTAGAAACTAATATGTTGATGCTTAATGTTATCTTCACCTAAGAATCCTCATCAAATTAAAATTATTCATAATAATAAATTTCTAATAATCAAATATTTAGTAAATCTAATCAATCGTAATTATCTATAATTAAAAAGTTTATAATATGTTTAAGGAAAAAAAATAAGTTGTGATAGAAAATTACAATCAACATACTAAAATTTGAAAATTACAAATACCCCTTGAAAAATATGAAATTGTAGAAACGACCCTAAAAACTTGAAAATTTCAACTACATGATAAATTTAAAAATTAAACAATCCCTTGAAATGTTAAAAAATGCAAATAACCCCCTAAAGCTCTGAACACTACACACAACTCTCTTCTAAATATGAAAACTACAAATAACCCCTTGAAAATCTGTAAGCTACAAACTAACCCTAAGAAACAAAAAAATTACAAACAATCTTATAAAAACTCAAAAATTTACAAGCAGTCATATTAAAATGCAAACAACCCCTGAAAAATCTAGAATTTACAAACAAACCCGTAAAATTACAAAAAAAAAAAATACAAACAACCCTCTCAAAATTTCAAATATATAAACAACCTGCTTTGAAATAATAACCTCCTAAAATATTTGAAAAATACAGACAAATCCCTGAAAAATGAAATTGAAAACAAATATTTTTGAGGGTATTCTGTCAAAAGTTGTCAGGGGTTAAGTGAGAAAACTTAAAACTTATTGGGGGTTTTTTACCAAATTTTATTGAGGCATCTTTTGGTCTTTTGACCATATATGAACGTAAAATGTTAATTTCGAGGATTTTCTACCTCAAGTTATTGGGGATTCATGAAAGCTTCAAAGATATTGGTGGTTTTGTGCCAAACACCCAAACATATTAGGGGTTTAGGGAAGTTTACCCATATTTCAATCTCTATAAAGAGTGTAGATAGGTGGTTACATGTGAAAGACTTATATCTACTAAAGAATAATCAGTGGTTATGGTAGAATATCTACTTAAATATGGAAAGTTACCTATATTTCAATCTCTATGAACGTAAAGTGTTACATGAAAGTAGAATATCTACTTAAATATGGGAAGTTTACTCATATTTCAATCTCTATGAACATGAAGTGTTAATTTTGAGGATTTTCTACCTCAAGTAATTGGGGATTCATGAAAGTTTCAAAGATATTGGTGGTTTTGTGCCAAACACTCGAACATATTAGGGGTTTAGGGAAATATTTCAATCTCTATAGAGAGTGTAGATAGGTGGTTACATGTGAAGGACTTATATCCACTAAAGAATAATCAGTGGTTATGGTTTTGATAGTGTACATTGGTTGTCGAACTAAAATGAGACTGGAATTGTAAATGGATATGAGAATCAAGTGAATGACATCATAAATAATGAAAATTAGGATTTGCTGTTTTGTGAGCGAGTAAAGAACAAACTGAACCACATAAAAGGAAAGAGATGGAAAAAAAATAAATAGTTTTAATTTCTCCTCTATAAAAAGAGATTTGTGGGGAAAAATAAATAGTTTAAAATTTTCCTTTATATGTAAAAAAAGATTCGTGGTTTATTATTAACCATATATCTCAAGAAATTATCATGTGTTCCTCCTTAATTTTAAAATTTAAAATAAAAACTATCTAGACACTTAGTGAGCTAAATTTTTCTTTTTTTCCCCTTAACTTTAGAGTATTATTTAAAAAAGAGGGATGTTATAAAGGATAGATTGGTGGTTAAGCCATCTAATTTTGAATTTCATATTTGAAGTAAAAGTCATTCACGCCCTTATTAAATATTTCCTTATAAGCAAAAAACTTAAGCTTAGGTTATCTAATTTTGAATTCCAAATTAAAACAATATCTTTTCATTTCAAGCGTTATGTTTAAAACACTATGGGGAATTTAAAGGTGATATCATGTTCATTTTAATATTATAAGCCATTGTTTTAAGCCTTTTGTATGTTCATATTGATAAGAAAACTGTTGTATATAGCAAACCCACAAAAGAAAAAGCAACAGTCCAAAGAAGAAAAAAAATTAAGTACAGTTGAATTTAGAAGCACGAGCATAACTAAAAAAGAAACTCATAGAGAACAAAGGAATAAGGTATACAAACCAAAGAAATTAGACTCGCATTTGTGAGCACAAGCATAACACTTGAAAATGTTACTATATTTGTTATGAGTTATGACATTGCAAAAGAGGTACTCATCTCTCTTCCTTCATAACAACTTATGTATTAATTGACATATGATCTATAAGTTATAGTCTATAAAGAAATATAATTAGTCATTTCTTTTATTACAGTAAGGGATCTTAACAAGCAACTTGGTGGTTTATATGTCATTTTACCAATTCTGATTCTGGTATAAACCACATTTAGGAGTATTGAAGGCATTCCTTATTTGGTTCTTATGTTTTCTTTGCCTCCTTCCCTGCCCTCCACTGGCCGCATCCAACTTTAGATGCCTTGTTTGAGCGTGGAACTGCTATTTTATCATATTCACCATACCAAATATTTGAGAACCCCATTAGGTTCTTCACTTAAAGCATGATTTCTGATATAATTAGATATTCAATGCACATTATGCAGTGAATTGAACCCCTTTGTTTCTTAGTGAATTGGGATCTAATCTTGTTTTTTCTTTTTTAAGGCTTGAGGAATCTCCAAGGGTATCCTATGGTTCTGATGCTGGAAGAATGAACAGGTGTGGGTTCAATGTTGAAGGATTTAGTCGTGGACCAAAGAATACATCAAAATCCTTCAGGAGAGGAATGTTGAAAGGATCTGAACGGCTTAAATCACTGGGCAAAACTCTTCACTATGGTGTTTCAAAGGCAGTTTTCCCAGAGGACCTTAAGGTTTCTAAGAAGAAGATATTTGACCCACAGGACGTATTTCTTCTGAGAATGAACAGGCTTTTTGTGATATCATGTATTCTCTCTATAGCGGTGGATCCATTTTTCTTCTATCTTCCAGTGGTTGATAAAGAAGCCAGTTGTCTGAGTATAGATCGAAAGCTAGCAGGCTCATCAGTAACATTTCGGACATTACTTGACATTTTCTATTTTTTGCGCATTTTTCTTCAATTTCACACTGCATACATTGCTCCATCTTCTCGAGTTTTCGGTAGAGGTGAGCTTGTGATTGACCCTGCGATGATTGCTAGACGGTACATGAGAAGGTTCTTTGTCGTTGACTTTCTTGCAGTTTTACCTCTTCCACAGGTTTGAATAACCACCCTCATTGAATTGAGCATTCTCTTCATTCTACCGAAGTCCCATAACCCCTTTTCTGGGTATTTGCATGCAGTTTCGTTATTTTTATCTTGTGTATCTTGTATCTTATCTATACTTATCTATGACTGTTACTCTATATAATGACAAAGAATCTAAGATTTATATACATATATACATAGTTATATACATATGTACATGCACACACATATATATACACATGCCTATATATTACATATATAAATATATATGTGTGTGTTTGCATGTTCATAAAGGTATTTATTCATAATCCTCCGAAACAAATTCAACCCTAAATTTGGTATGTCAACAACAATTATGTTTCGTTCATCATGGCTTGGTAAATGAACTGTTTTACGACTATCCTTAGTTTTTCATGGATCTAGTTAGTAAAACTTGGGTTTAACGCATTTTGTTTGCTTTAGAAAAAAAACTAAGTTTACTTTCAGGTGTTGTTCTTTCTGTTTAAAAATATTATTCTAAGAGTAAATAAAACCTGGTTTTTGCACCCTAACGCTTAGTTGTATCAACAATTTGAATTGTTTTCATAGTTTTTTCTTTTGATTCCATATACAGCACATTTGCCTATTTTGGAAAAAAGAACAAAGTATCTGAAAATTCAGAATTGCAATTTATTTCTGTAAGAATGGAGGCACAAGTTTGTATAGGAATGGAATAGCAAGGAAATAGGTATAAAAGGAAAATATTAGAATGAAAACTTCAATTTAGACATTTGAAAGAAACAACGCCAAGTTCTAGCCTGTAATACTGTATAAATACAAATTATTTTACGGATGAGAAAGAAACTATAGGCAGAGTTATTGATAGTGGATAGCGTCGCGTAGCAGTGAGGCACCACTAATGCTATTTGGGACTATAGAGGCAAAATAGCAGCAACAAGTGCAAAGTCAATAAATATGTGTATATGTTCAAAAAAATTAAAGAAAAATCTAAAAATTCTACAAATACATATTTGACGATTTATAGAGATCCTAAGGAGGAGAAAGAGGACTTTGTGTGCTTCACGTTGGCGGAGGCTGCAAGAGAGGCAGTCAGAAAGTGTGTGTTTTAGGGTTGAGTGTGAGAGGGGTTTTGGGGTTTGAGGTGATGTAGTCGGAGAGGGAGAGGTAGAAGGTGAGGTGGAGAAATCAGAGAGGGATAGGAGGAGGGTCACTGGCAATGAAGTTGGCGGAGGGAGAGAAGAGGCGGCAAAGTTGGTGGGAATCATCGGATTAGGGTTTTTTTCTTCATCTTTTTAGATCGGATCAGAGAGGGGAGAGAGAAACGAAGCTGAGGGTTTTTTGGTTAATTATAGGTCTGGTAAAGGTCAGGTTTGAGTCGGATATTAAACTGAGAATCCATAATGAAAAGTGCTAATAAATGCTATTAAGCACTATTACGGGCTAAACACTGCTATTGCGAGCAAATAGCGCAAAGAGCACTATCTTCCACCGCTTTTGTCGATTTTGTTGTGGGAAGTGGGCGCTAATGCAATTTGCGGCATTGTAGCGGCACTGTTGGGCACTTTTTCAACTGCGTTAGGAGGATAACAAGATTAAAGATAAATGGATACTGATAGGTTATTTCAGAAAATTATCAAGTGAGGATAGAATATGGTTTTTTATTTGTATTACTGTGCAGCATTTTGAAGTAATTTTTAGGTTTGAAGAGTAGATTTTTTATCAGTGATTTTTAAAATAAGAGTAGCTGATGATTGGAGATTCTTTGGAAATTGGATGAATTTGTTTAACTAGATTATGTTATCGACTTAAAAATTGATCTTTATGACCAAAATAATGTAATACTCATCATGTAAATTACCGGAAAGCATAAATATTGAGACAAAGGTTCATTGAAGTTATAGCCTTACAGGAAAGTGGGAGTCTGGACTCTGGGCAACCAATAACTATGTGAAGACTAATATATAATAATGTGCTTTAGCATTTACTTCTGGTAATTAAAGATAGCAGTTTATACTTACTGCTCAATGAGAGTATTGGTTATTTTAAAGATGAATTCACCAGTAAGAATAAGTCTGAATAAGGGCTTTAGTTTAATATCCTGTACTGCTCTTTTGGTGAGTTGACTTTTTTTAATACTTTATGCAGTTTATACTATGTTCAATAAGAGTATAGGCTAGTTTAAAGATGATTTCACCAGTAGGAATAAGTTTGCATATGGGCTTAAGTTTAATGACCTATATTACTCTTTTGGTGACTTCACTTTTTCACTTTATCCGATAGGATTTTATCTGTATGTATCCGGTTGCTTTTTTATCTGCCAAGAACTTGTTAAACTTTTATGCTTGAGTTTCTTTTCCCCGTTATGGTTTGAAACTCCTCTATGCCTTGCCTTTGTTTAAGATCTGCTTGTCACAGCACAGACGGGGCTTTTCTTTGGTTGCTGGGTGGTAAGGAGGAGAAGGATGAAGGTTAATAGACCCCTCTCAATATTATTTTTGCAATTGGGGGTTTCTTAGATTAACAATTCCAACAGTCTACTTACAAAATAAGCTGGAGTAATATAAGTGTCAAAAACAAATACTAAATCCTTTAACGTATTTAAACCTTAAATTAAGTGACAGGCTACTGGTTTACTGAATCTATATATTTTCCAGCGGGCATATTTGTAACTTTAGTTGTTAACATTGATCTTTTGATACGAACATGATTGGGTTTTACTTATTCTCTTCTCTGACGTGTCTCTTCTAACTGTGTGCAGATTATAGTATGGAGATTTCTTCATAGCTCAAAAGGTTCTGATGTTCGCATGACAAAAAATGCATTGCTTTTTCTTATCTTGATTCAGTACATTCCCAGATTTGTCCGGTTTATTCCTTTGACATCAGAGATGAAAAGAACTGCTGGTGTCTTTGCTGAAACTGCTTGGGCTGGTGCTGCATACTATCTTTTGTGGTTCCTACTCGCTAGCCATGTAAGGTCCACCTCATATGTTGTTACTACTTTATTAAACATTGATCACTTTCTCATGCGCTGGATTTCAAAGTTAAAGACCAAAGGCATATATATTTTATATCTATTAGTTCTTTATTGGTCACCCTAAAAAATAATACTCACTTCCTAGTTGGTAAGGAATTCAACATTAAAACTATTTTTTATAAAAGGATTTGGGCCTCGAACATTAAGGGTATATTTGTCAATTTTTTTAATTATATCCAAGTCCTTCTGCAGGACTCAACCAAAAGTGCTTCCTAGAAAATATCTTTTTATATTGATAACTTTTTTGGTAAATTTAAACTTTAAATGTTTGTAATTTTTTTATATATATCAAATCAAATGTCAGAAGAAGTTAGGATATGAATAAATGCTAGAGAGAAAGCACAGATAAGGTCGGGAAGGAAGTATTCAGTTAAAGTCAGTTTTTTTGAAAGATTATGCAAGAGGAGATGTATGAAAAAGAAGAAGAGATAAATGAGCGATCATCTGCCAGTTTAATTGAGAAACAAAAAACCTAGAATCCCCACATAATAGCTTCTTGACTTGCGTTTCTCTTAGAAGTTGCTTTTTTAAATTGATCACCACACATCCAAATTTACTAAGAACACTTATTTGCTCTAAAAGCAGTGAAAACACTTGTCATAGTTAACACGAAAGATGCCTAAGCAAGTGTATCATGCCCATTGATTTTATCTCCTTTGAATGCGAGGGCAGAATCCATTAGATTAAGCCTGGTTTAAGTAGTCACATGTCAGTTTGCTCTGATTTTTCTGCCTTTCAAGTGGTTAACGTTATACTGGTCTTTCCATGTGGCCCAAAGACCCACTTAAGATGAAGTGTTTGTTTTTGTTTACATAAACTGTGTGTAGATAAAGCTTTTGGTACTGTGGTTGTACGAAAATCTTATTACCACCTTATGACCACCTTAAAGAATCAATTGATCTGTAATCTGTCATTTATAATGACAGTGCATTATCTTAAATAGTTTGAAGCAAAGTCAGGTAAAGTGGTAGAATAGGCATAACAAACTAAAAAGATTCAAAGAATGCTAAGTTGACACATATTCTGCAAGTTTGCGCAGAAAACTAGGCATAACTAGCACGGTTGCCGGTTTAGTGCTGGTATGGGTACTGTCGAACACGATCTAGCTTTCATGTCGGATTTAGATCCTTTAGGTTAACAAATTAGGTATAATGAGTCATATACGGTCTGTCATAGTCAGACCAGGGTGGTGTTGGTTAGATAATTATCATACATCATACATCATACACCCTTTAAAAGTACGAGTTAGAGAAAATCTTTTCATGGTCAATATTACCCTTCGCAATTTTAAATATTTCATTTAAATCATATATCCTAATCATAATTATATTCTATTCTAATCCTATGTGAACTACCTACAACTCAACAATTAAAAAAAAAAGATTATTAAAATATATGAAACAACTCCACTGTATTAATTTGTTAAGGTAAAGAATTAACATAGTAGTACAAAAAACCCAAAAGTTTCAAAAATTACATAAAATACCCTCAAAAGTTTAAAATTACACAAAACATTCTTCCATTTCAAAACTTAAAACAACAAACATGAAATCTAGAAATTAACAGCTCTAAAGAATTTAAAATTTATAATTAACACCCTCAACTTTTAAAAATGGTAAAAACACCCGCAAAATTTTAAATAATAAAAAAACACCATGAAATTCTAAAATTTCAAAACTTTCAAACAACAAAGATGAATTCAAGGGCTTACCATCGGGCACATGAAAATTTAAAATTTGTAAAAATAACCTCAAAGTTATAAAAATTACAAAAAAACTCATTCAAAAGTTAAAAATCACAAAAAATTATGAAATTTCATAACTTATAACCAATACATATCAAAAATGGAATTTTTCAGCATACCGCTAAAAATTTAAATTTTACAACAAACAATACAAAGTTTTGCAAACATACACCCTCAAAATTTCGGAGTTGCAAGAAATATTCTAACATTTGAAAACTTATCACCAACACATAAAACATGAAAATTACAAGCACTGAACTTAAAATTTAAAATTTATAGACGGGTTTTAATGGATATAGGTCTGGGTCGAACAGTGGCGGACCCATGCCTGTTCACACTGGTTCAGTTGAACCACCTGATTCTGGAGAAGTTTTAGAGTATTTTCAAAAAATGAGTACAAGAAGATATGAATTGTAAGAGCTTTAGTCTTGTATGTAGCTACTTCTGTAAGTTTTTGTTACTTCTCTACACTAGTGGATGAATGTAAAATATGCTACTGATGTTTATCAATATGGAGTAGCATTTGTCTTTAAAACTAGCTACTGCTTGTTTTGTTGCAAACTTGCAATATTATTTATCAATATGAAAGAGTATCATTTTGTCTTTAAAGTTAGCTGCAGATTGTCTTTTTACAGGATTTAGTAGAATTTTTTTCAGAAGGTGATAGTGTTTGGGAATATTTTGAACCAGCGCCGTTAAGGCTGTAGATCCGCCACTGGGGTCGAACGACGTACGTAGCATTCACCTTTATCCCCATGATTGAACAAATTGGGCCCATTTCCAGGTCATGTCCATATAAATGAGACCTAGTGCTTTCTGGTAAATGAAATGACTATTAGGCGTATGGGTTTATTGTTTGCTATTGTTTGGCAGAAGATTCTCTCTAAGATTTTAGTTTTGTGTGTTATTGGTTTGAGACTAGGATTTGGGTTTAAAGTTAGTTTGTTTTCGGTTGCCTGGGATTGAGTTTTGGATTAAGCCTACAAAATCCAAATCTTACCCCTATTGCACGCATATATATCTGGATATATATACCTATATCTTATACATATACCTGAGTATATATGTATGTATAGATTTATGCATACATATATGTTTACGCATATCTATCAGTATGTTGCAAAAAGAAAAAGAAAAAGAAAAGCATATCTATCAATGTTTATGTGTATACATGGTTATACGTATGTGACAATATGTATTGTGTCAAAGGACTCTGAAGTGCGGTTAGGGTTGAGGGTTATAATTTAATATTCTAGCATGCCTTTGCAGGTTGAGCGTCCTTTTTATGGACTGAAGTCTGGACTCACATGACGGTAAATTTTTTTTTTTAAGAATCTCACTAAATTTGTGGGAAGCAAAGATTCGAATCTGGGTTGCTTGGATACCATGTTAAAGGACCTTGCCACTACGCTAAAACTCCAAACTTTTCATGAAGGTTGAGGGTCATAGTTTTATATTCTAATAGTATGTGTGTCTTTTACATGTATTATTAAAGTCATATAATTTGATAACTATGAGAGCATGTCTCAAGGAACTTAGTTCAGTATCAAAGTGACTATATGTTGTCTTATCTATGGTTGAGCCTTCTTCTAAGATATGCATTTTCATATTTCGATGTTGTTTTATTTGTTATGTTACTAATATTTACATATTTAGCTATATAATATAGTAATAATTAATAATTATATTGAAATAATTATTCACTGATTAGATAATAACTGCATTCATTAGTAATAATTATTTAATATAAGAATTTAATGATCCACCGGAATTGGCTCAATCCAAGTCCAACTCAAGTATCCTAATTTAAATTGTCATGAATACAACTTCTAGTCTAAGATCCCAAACCAGCTATCTTTGGATTGGGAACCAGCTTTAGTTAAGTGAATCCTTCTAGCAGCTGGCGACATAAAGTCAATAACTCTCTTCCATGCAGTTGTTCCCGTCAAGCTTCTTGTTCGTGATCTTACCAGACGTCACCTCTGAAATAACTGTCTTGGTATCCCTGGACTCTGCCTGCCTTCGGGTACAGAGTTCTCAAATGAAACAAAGAACCTCCCAAGAAGACGAATCTCAAACCTAGGTCTCAACACACAATCAACAAACGTTAGACTTTGCTGCTAAAACCGTGTAATGCCCAATTCACCAAAAGAAAAAAAGGCTGAAAGCTGCAAGGACAATGGATTGATGTGGCTATGGCGTCAACAAAGTTGATGGCAGCAGTGGTTGGAGTTGGTGATGTTACCTGGCAGGAGGTCCCCCACTGGGGGGGTTATGTTGGGGAAGCATTTAGAGCAGATGTGGGGCGTGGGTCTGGGGCATGGTCTGTAGAGTTGGGGATAGAATCTGAATGTAGGGCCACGGTTCGCATGGTAGGGGTACAGGTGGTGGTTGGGGGTGGGTCTGCACAGGGTGGCATGTGGAGACGGGGAGGCGGTGGTTGATGATGATTAGTTTAGGAACTTTTAGGATGTATGCTTTGATGCCGTGCTAGTTAAGGAAATTAGAATTATAATTTACCTCTTCTCGATATTCTTATTTCTAATAGAAGATTAGTACTACTCTAGTCACACAAGCATTGTGGGACCAAACAACTAACTAAACATGACTCCTCTGTTAAAGTTTAGTAATATCTAATTCTAATACTTTCACATGAATAAAGAACATTTACACACAAAATTATAGGATCTGAAATAGATACACTTGAACACTAGAGGGGGGGTGAATAGTGTTCTTTTAAAATTAATGCAAAGTATATTATAAATTGCAAAAAAAAATGGCAATCTCAGAAATTCACAATCACAAACACAAGAATTTTATACTGGTTCCACCAATCCGGTGTACATCTAGTCCCCAAGCAAATCCCGTTTGAGAGTTTTCACTATGATTTTGAATAAACTTACAAAATCAAACGTAAACTTGACCAATTTGCAAGTCCCTGCAAATTGCAACACCAATTGACAAACACCTTGCCAATTTGAACACCAATCTCTAAACCAAGAGATCAACCCTTTCAAACCCGAGAGAAATCCTTGTTGAAGAAAGAACACAATTGATCCTATAAGCCTTGAATGTGTAGTGAAGTGCAGCAGTGGCTTAGGATTCTTTTAACCTCTGTAAATTGCCTAAATGATATGTATTTGATGAATGTTTGGAGGCAATTTCAGAAACTTCTCTTTTTCACAAAATCT